CTCAAAAATCTGAAATATTTTGAGCATAGACATGACACCACCAGTGAAAAATTCCACACTTAACCTTATGTGATGGGTTGCAGTCAAAACACTCAAGGATCACCTGTAATCCCAGCACTTTGGGAGGCCAAGGCAGGAGAATCGCTGGCCTCACCAATTGTTGCTATTGAGTTTTCCAGGTGGATGATCACATCACCAGAAGCTATGACAATTTGGCCTCTTCCTTTCCAATTATTAAACCTCTTGCTTGTCTTTAAATTTTTATTGCATTAGTTGTAACTTCCAGTATATTGCAGAAGAGTAGAAGCATTGGTTCATTTCTGACTACATTGGATGTAACATTCAGGATAGGTCAAGGTATATTACAGTAACAAACGATCCCAAAATCTAGTGGCTTAACACAATAGAAATTTATTTCTCATTCACATTTCATGTCCAACATAAGTTATAGGGCCGAGGAGGAGTCCCCTTATTGTTGTTTCTCAGGGATCCAGGCTGATTGAGGCTCTGCATCTCCACGGCCAGCTGCTTCCAGGATCACTAAGGCAGGAGGAAGGAGTGAGATGAATTATGCACTGGCTTTGGAAGCTTCCACCCTAAAGCAACACATATTCTTCTGTTCACTAGCATTTCAAAGCAAGGGCCATGGCCAAGCCTAACTTCTAAAGGGGTAGAGGAGCAGGATCCTTCCAGACACCAGAAAAATAGTTGGACTGTGTCAATGTTTCCAATGCTGCACCATTACATATGGTGTTTGCTTTAAGTTTCTGGTAGATAACACTTCATCAAGTTAAGAAGTACATTCATGAGTTTGTTTAGTTTGTTAAGCAAGTTAAGAGGTTGTCTTTATCACGAATTTTATCAAATGACTTTATGCCATCTGTTTGATGAGCAAATGTTATTTTTTTTCTCCTTTAGTTTGTTAAAACATTTATACATATTGTTTCACCTCCCCGAACATTTCCTTCCACTGCCCTCTGTAACCACTTTTCCTGGTTAATTCCTTCTCATTCTTTAGTGTTCACTCACTCATTCAGCAAATATTTATTGAATAATACTATGTGCCAGATGCTGTTCCAGGCACTTGGGATACAGTGATGAACAAAGCAGACAAAAAAACCCCTTGCCCATGTGGATCTTACACTGGGGGTAGGAAATGAAAGAAATATAAAAACAGGCCGGACGTGGTGGATCATTCCTGTCATCCTAGCACCATGGGAGGCCAAAGCAGGAGGATTGCTTGAGCCCAGGAGTTCAAGACCAGCCTGGGCAACATAGTGAGACTCCCATCTCTACTAAAAAAATAAAAATAAAGAAATAAAAATAAGTTAGCTGACACGATGGCATGTGCCCATACTCCCAGCTACTCAAGAGGCTGAGGTGGAAGGATTGCTTGAGCCCAGGAGGTTGAGACTGCAGTGAGCTGTGATTGTACCACCGTACTCCAGCTGGGTAAAAGAGTGAGACACCATGTCAAAGAAAAAAACAAGTAAGTTATATAGCATCAATAGTAAGTTATGTAGCTAACAGTGTTAAGTACAATGGAAAAGAAGCTGAGCAGAGGGCATGAGGGGGAATGAAGGTGTTGTGGGTGATGTATGGTCAGAGTAGGTCTCACAAGAAAGTCACATCAGGGCAACGCCTCAGAACAGGGGCAGGGGCCAGGCGTGGTGGCTCATGCCCGTAATCCCAGTACTTTGGGATGCCTACACAGGTGGATCCCTTGAGGTCAGGAGTTTGAGACCAGCCTGGCCAACGTGGTGAAACTCCATCTCTACTAAAAATACAAGAATTAGCCAGGCGTGATGGTGGGCGCCTGTAATACCAGCTACTTGGGATGCTGAGGCAGGAGAATCGCTTGAACCCGTCAGGTGAAGGTTGCAGTGAGCTGATATCGCACCATTGCACTCCAGTCTGGGCAAAAGAGCGAGACTTGGTCTCGAAAAAAGAACAACATAAAAAAAAGCCAGGAGCGGGGAAAACCAGACAGATACCTGGTGGCAGATGATTTCAGCCAGAAGGCAGCTGCTGGGCAAAGCCCCTGGGGTGAGAGTTGCCTGGTGTATCCCAGGAGTTGCAGCTGAGTGAGTGAGGTTGGTGAAAAAGAATGGAGAGGGGCAAGGGGCTGTGCGAGAAAATAAGAGAAATCGGGATGGTTCCAAAATGTTTGGCCTGAGCAACAACAGGATGGGCAGATCATCAGAATGGGCTGGGAAAGGCTTCAGGTGGAAAAGGTTTCGGGGCAGGATCAAGAGTTCAGGCATTGTTTTTTCTTTCTTTTTTATTGTAATTTTTTTTTATTGAGATATAATTCACATACCATACAATTTACCATTTTATTTTTATTTTTATTTTTTTGTTTTTGAGACGGAGTTTCACTCTTGTTGCCCAGGCTGGAGTGCAATGGGCACGATCTCAGCTCACTGCAACCTCCGCCTCCCGGGTTCAAGCAATTCTCCTGCCTCAGCCTCCTGTGTAGCTGGGATTATAGGCATGCACCACCACACCCAGGTAATTTTTTTGTATTTTTAGTAGAGACAGGATTTCTCCATGTTGGTCAGGTTGGTCTCCAGCTCCGGAGACTTCAGGTGATCCACCCGCCTCAGCCTCCCAAAGTGCTGGGATTACAGAAGTGAGCCACCGCACCTGGCCAAAATTTACTTTTTTAAAATATACAATTTAGTGGTCCTTAGTATTATTCACTAGGTTGTACAACTCTTACCACTGTCTAATTCTAGAACATTTGATGACCCCAAAAAGAAACCCCATACACATTGTCCCTTCCCTGACGTGAACTTTCTGTCTCTGGAAACTTCATATAAATGGAAGTATACAATATGTGTCCTTTTGTGACTGGCTTCTTTCATTTAGTATAATGTTTTAAAGGTTCATCTGCGTTGTAGCATGTATCAGCATGTCACTCTTTTTTATGGCTGAATAATATTCCATTACACGGATACATCACATTTTATGCATGCATCAGGTGATGGACATTGGGTTGTTGCCACTTTTTGGCTATTATGAATAATGCTGCTATCAACATTCATGTGCAAGTTTTTATGTGAACATATGTGTTCAATACTCTTAGGTATACACCTAGAAGTAGATTGCTGGGTTATACGGTAACTCTATGTTTAACTTTTTGAGGAACTGCCAAATTGCTTTCCAAAGCATCTGTTCCATTTTACATTCTCATCAGCAATATGCAGTTTTCTCCAGATCCTTGCCAACACTTGTTATTATTGTCTTTTTTGTTGTGGTCATCCCAGTGGGTGAGAAGTGGTCTCTCCTTGTGATTTTAATTTGCATTCCTGTAATGACTAATGATGTAGAGCATCTTCTCGTGTGCTTATGGCATGCATTTGCATATCTTCTTTGGAGAAATATCTATTCAAATTACTTGCCCATTTTTAAAATGGGTTGTCATTTTATTGTTGAATTTAAGAGTCCTTTATATATTCTAGATACTAGACCCTTATCAGATATATGATTTCCAAGTATTTTCTCCCATTCTATAGGATGTATTTTAAAAGTTTACTTTTGGGCCAGGCGTCGTGGCTCACGTTTGTAATCTCAACATTTTGAGAGGCTAAGGTGGGTGGATCACCTGAGCTCGGGAGTTTGAGACCAGCCTGGGCAATATGGTGAAACCCCATCTCTACTAAAAAAAAAAAAAAAAGAAAGAAAGAAAATTAGGCATACTGCAAACATAGGGTGGTAGATAAAGGAAGAAGTGAGGCCTAGAGTGTATTTTGATTTGTTTTCTTGTTTTGTTTTTAAGAGGGGAAAAACAGCATTATGTTTGTATCAGATAATGATCTGGTGGGAGAGAGGGGAGAATCGCTGGAGTGGTGTCGCCAAGGTGATGGCACGGGACTGATGCCCACCTGGAAGGGTGGCCTTCGATGGGGCACAAACAGTCACCTGTGGAAAAAGGTTGGAAGCAGAGTGTGGGCACAGCCCCGCCCGCGAGCCAAGAGCAAGCCTGTGGGAGTCTGTGCGCCCCTATTGTCAAGAGAAGGATGAAGCAACAGCGCTGGCTGAGAGTGAGGATGGGGGCACGGGTGGGAGTCAGAGGGGGAAAGTATGAAAGGGTGTCTGGGGTAGAGCAAGTGCATCCGGGGGACAGGGTGAAACCAGTCAGCACCAAACCTGCAGGTGAGATCTGTGTCACAGGATCTTGCCCCATCACCCAGCCTGGAGTGCAGTGGCATGATCTCGGCTCACTGCAGCCTCAACCTCCTGAACTCAATCCATCCTCCCACCTCAGCCTCCTGAGTAACTGGGAACACAGGCAGACGCCACCATGCCCGGCTAAATTTTGTAATTTGTATAGCGATTGGGTCTACCTATGTTGCCCAGGCTGGTCTTGAACTCCTGGGTTCAAATGATCCTCCCACCTCAGCCTTCCATAGTGCAGAGATTACAGGCATGAGCCACCGCACCCGGCCTATGTCTTGAATTTTAAGCTCGGTTCCGACATCAAAAGCCTTCTATTGCTGGGTTCTTTACTCTCGGTAGCCCTCACTAGACTGTAAGCCCCATGCAGATGTGAACAGCGCTGGCTAGTTCACGGCTGTATCTCAACACCCAGCTCCTCATGCATGGTAGACTCTCAATACATAGCATTGAATCGTTGAATAAAGGAATGAAGTAACGAATGAGAAAAGTACTAGAAGTGGCACGGTCTAGATTTCTGAAGCAGCCCCTTCCGCATCCCTGGATGATTCTAGACCTGCTCTCCCCACCCACCCTACATCCCATCCCACCCTCCCCTCTCTAAGCCGCCCACCCCCCGCCCCCTCCCCTCCCCCTCCCCGCCCCCGACAGCGCCGCAGTGCAGACCCTGTGGCTTTAAGGCCGGCAGGAGCCGAACCGGGCGGTGATTGGTGGTTTATTCTAAGGATCAAGGATGAGCTAATCCGCAGCCAATGGCCGCGCTGCACCGGCTGGCCCCGCACGCTAGATGCCGGAAAGCCTCGGCGGCGGCGCGCTCTGGCGTGAAGGGCCGGTGGCGTCAGCGGGAGGCCTGGCCCGCGGACCGGGCTCCCAGCTCGGGCAGGTACGGTGTTTTGTCCGGCGCCTCCTCCACCCTCCCAGGCGAGGGGCCCCCTCGGCCTTCCCTCCACCCTGGGACCGTGCACCTTGCGGCTGAGGCCCCGCGGGTTGCACGCGCCGCTTTCTGTGTCCAGGCGGGGCCAGCGGCTCTGCCCGGCAGGACCCGGCCCGGCGGGGTGGCCCCTGAAGCCAGTCCCACCCGGGCACCCCCGAGAGCAAGGCCTCAGAGCCTCAAGTTCCCCCTGGGCTTGGCCAAGCAGGGATGGTGCGGCCTCCCTCCGCCTCCTGGCCCGGGTTCAGCTCCCCGCCGGCTGAGGCTGTGGGTCTCCCTCCCCGCCCCACCGCCCATCCTTCTCTCTCTCTCTCCGAATGACCTCGGGTTGTAAGTTCCGGGCCCTGCCCATTCCCAGTGAGACCTGGGAGAGCAAAGGCGGGACAGCTCCGCGGGCCTCTCTCTGAGCCCATTCCTTTCCCGCAGCCACGGCTCTCATCCCTTTGGCCGCCTGGGTCACACACTGCTCAGGGAGAAGCTGCTGTCAGGTCCTTGGAGGCCACATGGCCTTCTCAAAAGTACAGCCGGGAGGACAGAGACCCTCCCTGGGCTGGGTCACCCTGCCCTCTTCTATCCCCATCCAACGTGGCACCGAGTCTGCCATTCAGTCATTCCGTCTGCCAACAAGTCTTACAGGCCAGCTCTGTGCTTAGCTCTCTGCTGGCTCCAGGAGGGGTCCTCACTCGCTGACCACACCGACCTCAGGACCAAGGGAACAAACACAGCAGGGGCAATCCGTCCCGTCCACGGAGAAGTCTAAACCCCAAAGGGTAAATTAGATTCCCACAGGAGGAGCAGGGAGGGGAGAACAGGCAGGGTGGAGGGAACAGCATGAGGAACAGCATTTGAGATCAGCGTGTGTGGCCTCCATGTGCTGAATGCGTACTAGATATCAAGCGTGCTCCATGGAGGCCCTGTGAAGGTGGCTGTGGATCACAGATATCCTCAGTTCTCTCCAGAGCTCAACACAGTACCAGATACTCCAGAAATGTTTGCTGAACTGAATTTGTTTGGAAAGGAAAACAGAACCCCAGTCCGGCGCAGTGGCTCACGCCTGTAATCCCAGCACTGTGGGAGGCGGAGGCAGGCAGAGATCACCTGAGGTCAGGAGTTCAAGAGCAGCCTGGCCAACATGGTGAAACCCTGTCTCTACTAAAAATACAAAAAATAGCCAGGTGTGGTAGGCGAGTGCCTGTAATCCCAGCTACTTAGGATGCTGAGGCAGGAGAATTGCTTGAACCCGGGAAGTGGAGGTTGCAGTGAGCCAAGATCACACCACTGCAATCCAGCCTGGGTGACAGAGCAAGACTCCGTCTCAAAAAAAAAAAGGAAGAAAACAGAGTCCCAAGCTGGTGATGATTCTATCATTACCACCAGTTATGAAGGACCTGGATCCATGAAAAGACCTTACCCACTTTAGCTCTGACTCCCTTCAGTCTTTGGAGGTGAATATTAGTCTCCCTGATATTCAGTGGAGGAAACTGGGGAGTGGATAGGGGTGTTGCACCCAGCTAGGTCCTCCCTAATACATTTGCCCATTCCAGGTCCCAGCTGCAGGGCAGCCATGAGCCTGGTGGCCTGCGAGTGCCTGCCCAGCCCCGGCCTGGAGCCTGAGCCTTGCTCACGAGCACGGTCCCAGGCTCGCGTGTACCTGGAGCAGATTCGCAACAGGGTGGCTCTGGGGGCGTCTGACGTGACAAAGCGTGACTATCTGGTGGATGCGGCCACGCAGATCCGGCTGGCCCTGGAGCGCGACGTTGGTGAAGACTATGAGGCGGCCTTCAACCACTATCAGAATGGCGTGGACGTGCTGCTCCGTGGCATACATGGTGAGGACCGGGGCTGGGCAGGGCTGGGGTGAGTGGGGAAGGGCCAGTGCAGGACTCCTCCTGTCATCCATCTGTCCTGTCCTCTGTCCATTTGTACTGGGTGAACAGGGCACTATGCTGGCCTGCAGGGCCTCCGTGAAGGACAATGATAGCTGGCACTTATTAAGCTGTTCCTACATGCCAGGCACCATTCTAAGGGGCTTCATGTAGATTCATTCATCTGAGCGTCACAGTAATAGAAATTACTGTATATACTGTAAATTCTCGTGTTCCAGATGAGGAAGCTGAGGCCTGGGGCAGTTCAATAGCTCGCTCGAGGTTCCACAGCTATCAAGTGGCAGAGCTGGGGTTTGACTTCACAGGCTGTGTACTTGGCCTTCCACACCTGACTGCCTGTCCCTGGAGCTGGGCTGGGCTCCTGCCCTCTGGGAGTTTGCATTCTAGTGGGGGGAGACTGATGAGTTGATTTGGACCATTATAGTCTCAGGTAGGAAGAGGATTAGGGGGGAAGTGAAGAGAGGAAAGAGGGAAACTGAGGTCAGACTGGGCTGGCCTAGAGCATTTTCTAGATGTTAGATCTCTAATCTGAGCACTGGAGAATGGTAGGTGCATTATCCAGCTGAAGGACTGGCTAGAGTCCCAGAGAGAGAACAGTCAAGGCCTAGAGGTGAGAGGGGAGGTCCCTCCAGGGCAGCATGAGGAACTTCCATGCCAGGGGAGAGGCTGGTGGCCAGGCTTGGGGTGGCCACTGGGCCCTTCCTGCCCTCCGGCTGAAGAGACCCCTCAAGCCTGGGCTTCCAGTCTGTCCAGTCAATTCCTTTATCCTGGTCCCCACCCTAGCCTTCTTCACACTGGGCATCAGAGATGGAAGAAGCAATGTTCTCTGGAATCTTCTGTCCCCTCCTCTGAAAAAAATGGATGGGGAAATCCCCACCCTGTCCCTTTCCAGGGTGTGACAGCTGCCAGCAAGGCGGTGGGTGCTAACGGTGAAGTGTTGTCTGCTGAGGAGTGACCCTGGTTCCTAACCTCCTCCTGCCATTTCCCTTCCTCCTCCTTCCTGGCTGGTCCCCCGCCCCAGAGGAGGGGCTCACGAAGCAATCTGGGGGCAGAATCTGCCTAACCAGGCTTAGAAACAGGAGCTCCCTACTCGGGAGAGCAGAGGGCAGGCAATGGGAGCTGGAACTCCAGTTCTCCGAGGCTGTGGCTGGGGACCCTGGTGACCCTCGTCCCCCACAGTTGACCCCAACAAGGAGCGACGTGAGGCTGTGAAGCTGAAAATTACCAAGTACCTGCGGCGGGCAGAGGAGATCTTCAACTGCCACCTGCAGCGGCCGCTGGGCAGTGGAGCCAGCCCCAGCACGGTGAGGAGACCCCCCGCCCAAAGGCCTGAGCAGGAGAAAGGCTCTGAGGGGAGACTGCGGAGGCCCCGACACCCACAGGCCGGCCCTGGGCTGCAGGGCAGAGGCCGGCAGTGGAGATCGTTAGTTGGGCTGGAGTGTGCCAGGGAGGCCCATCATCTTCTCCTCCTGGCTTCCTCTCTCTCCCATGCCTCATGGCTCATTCATTTTCAAACAACTCACTGAGTCATCTCCAGTCCAGTCTGCCTCCCTCACAGAGCACTTGCGATGCGTGCACATATACATCTGCCAGCCTTGCACACAGTTCAGTTTACACGCTTACGTGTGTCCACACTCAGAGTCTCCTCATTCTGTCTCTGTTGTGAACTGGCGTGCAATTTGGAACAGACCTTGATACCCACATGTGCACACACACTCTCCCCATATGGCTTTCTCTAAACCAGTAAGTGCTTAGTGAGGGTGGAAAATGCATGCGTGCTTCTTACCCCATGGATGCTTGCACTCCCACAACCCTCCTTGGCTCACTGCATCTCGTACGGCTGCCTTTCCCCAGAGTACGTGCTTGGTCTACAAAGCATGTTTTGTGAGACTCACAGGTTCCCAGGTTATTTCCCTACCCCCACCTTGGGAGCTTCTGCATTTTTTGAGATGGAGTCTCGCTTTGTCACCCAGGCTGGAGTACCGTGGCATGATCTTGGCTCACTGCAACCCGCCACCTCCCGGGTTCAAGCGATTCTCCTGCCTCAGCCTCCCAAGTAGCTGAGATTACAGGCAGGCGCCACCACGCCCGGCTAACTTTTGTATTTTAGTAGAGATGGGGTTTCACCATGTTGGCCAGGCTGGTCTCAAACTCCTGACCTCAAGTGATCTGCCCGCCTCGGCCTCCCAAAGTGTTAGGATTACAGTTGTGAGCCACTGCGCCTGGCTTAGATGGGGCTTTTGAGAGGGGACTTCTGAAGCCCAGAGAACATGGGCCTTGGGTGGGCTGAGCAGGGAAGTTGGCTTGACCACCCTGGACCAGTATGGGTACCTGTCAGTCGAGGCCAGCTTTTCCACCCAGCCTGCCCCTGTGGGGTGGGGCCTGCCTGTACCCCTGCCCTCCCTACTGCTCTCCTTGCATCCAGAAGCTCCTGCCTGATGCCTGGTGAGAAGGCCATGGCCAAGGAGGGCTTGGCTCTGAGGCTGCTTGTGGCCTGTCTCCCTCCTCTGCAGGGTTTCAGCAGCCTGAGGCTCCGGCCCATCCGCACGCTGAGCTCTGCTGTGGAGCAGCTGAGGGGCTGCAGGGTGGTCGGGGTCATCGAGAAGGTGAGTGAGTGGACACTTGCCCTGCAGGAGGGAAACAGGGTATGCAATTTGGGGTGGTACTGGGGAGAGAGATGTGATGTGCTGAAAGCAGGTTGTAGCAGTGGCCCCCACTCCTCCAGAGGAGGTGGGCAGGGTCAGAGGGGAGTGCAGTTGTGTCCAGCAGTTCCCACCTCTCCCCCATCCCCAACACGCATGACTCTGGTCCTAGGTCCTGGAGAGGAAAATACAGGGAACGAGAAGAGGCCAATTGGCCAGGCACAGTGGCTCACACCTTGAATCCCAGCACTTTGGGAGGCCAAGGCAAGAGGATTGCTTGAGCCCAGGAGTTAGAGGCCAGCCAGGGCAACGTAACAAGACCCCATCTCAAATAAAATAAAATATAAAATTAAAATAAAATAAAATATAAAAAGAAGAGGCAGACAGGCTCTTTCCACAGCCCTGCAGCTCAGACCCAGAAAACCTGCTCCTTGGGAGAGTTGGGACAGAAACTGCAGGAGGAGTGAGGAGCTGTGCCCAGGGCGCTCTGCCAGCCCTCGAGGCCGTGCTCACGCCCACTTCCCGCTTCCCACAGCACCCCCACCACACTCACCCTGAACCCCAGGGCTGCAGCCAAGGCATTCCACCGAGCACAGCTGGGGACTTCCTGCGGCTGGGACGTGCTCAACTCCAGAAACCTGTCCAGAGAGGGCCCGCGCTGGCCCTTCCTTGCCCAGGCCCTTGGCAAGTCTACCCTTTTTTACTCTCCTGACCTAACTATAACTTTACCCTGTCTCAATCCCATCTCGCGTGCTTTGCCTTAGTCAGGGCAGACAAGAAGATAGGAGGCGACGTCTCAACCCTTACTCAGGACACTCGTTGTTAGAGTGAGGAAATCAGAAGGATAGAGAATGAGGTCAAATGAGAGTCCAGCCAGTATGAGGTTCCCCTCTTCCCCGAACCCTGGAATAGTCACCCAAGAAGTTCTTTACCAAGCTGGCTAAATGGAGAGCTTCCTAAAAATACAGATGCCCAAGAATCTGTTATTTAACATACTCGCTGGGTGATTTTGGTGGATCTAGGGGCCCGCAGAGAAAAGGAGACAGTCCTGTGCTTCCCACAGGCAAGAGGATGACATGCTGCCTGCGGGAAGGCCCCGTGCTGGGCACCACCCCAGGTGGCCACAGGCAAGCCCCCTGCTCTCTGAGCTGTGGTTTCATCCTCTGGAAAGTGAGATGAGAATTCTCTGTCTATGGGGTGATCTGGGAGGTAAAACAATTTTGGGGAAAGACCTGGCACATGCTATGACACTGATTACATGTTTGATGGCTCTAAATACAAGTGACAGGAGTGAGCTGGGAGGCACGCACGCCCCTGTTCCCGGGCCTTACTCTGGCTGCTTCTCCTGGGTCCCTGGGGCAGGCCCCAGACTGTCAGCGCAGGCCCTGCCAGCTTCCATCTGCCATGGTCCCCTCCCCAGTGCTCGAGTGTCAGTGGCCACGACCCAACCTTGGCTGAGCACAGCTGCTCCCAGGGACTGGCTGGGAGGTGACTGACACCGTGCCTCCCAGTAAGATCCTGCTGAACCATACGTGTTATGGCAAGAGGGGTTCTGAGCTGAGTATGACAGGAAAACAGTGAGTTAAAGTTATGTTGCTTTGTTTTTTTAATGATAGGAGTTCTTAGAGTTTGTAGATGCAGATGTACACTATGACACAGAATTCCCCAAACTTGTTTAGCCTCAGGAAAGTGGTTTAGGAATCTGGTGTATCGAGGCCCCTGCAGAAGGAAAGCACAAATTAAGGCCAAGCCCAACCATTCTTTTTTTTTTTTTTTTGACAGAGAGTCTCGCTCTGTAGCTCAGGCTGGAGTACAGTGGCGTGATCTCAGCTCACTGCAGCCTCGACCTACCAGGCTCAAGCAATCCTCCCAGCTCAGCCTCCTGAGTAGCTGGGACCACAGTCTCAAGCCCTGCTAATTTCTTCTATTTTTTGTAGAGCGATCTCGCTGTGTTGCCCAGACTGGTCTCAAACTCCTTGCCTCAGGTGATCCTCCACCTCCGTTTAGGCCTCCCAAAGCGCTCGGGATTACAGGCATGAGGCACTGGCCCGCCCTATTCTATTTCAGGGCTGCCCTTCTGTTTTTTGTTTTTTATCCTGTCTGGGATACTCAACTTAAGGACTTCACCTCCCTCCTGAGATTCTACTTCCTTTCCCTGTGTCATGCCCAAGCCATCACTTTCCCCAAATTAGGAAAGGTGTTACTACCCCTGGGCCTGGCTCCCTGCAGCCAGACTTGGCTATACTGTCACCCTTGTTCCATTCCACAGCTCTGCCCAGACAGATCTGGGGAGGTGGGCAGTGCCAGCCTGCAGCAGCCCTCAGGCCCAGGGAGGAAGCAAAGGGCTTGCTCGGGATGATGCTTGAGTGATCCCTAACGTGTCTGGCTGTTGGGATAACTATAGGGGCTGAAGAGATGGTGGCAGGGAGCAGTGAGGTGGGTGGATCGGGACTTGGGAAACAGCCAGAATACCCGAGGGCCTGGCCTCAGAGCCTGGGGGCCAGGGAGACGTCACCGGTGTTTGCTGAGCCTCGTGCAGGAGCCAGGCTCTGAGATGGGGTGGAGGAAGAAAAAGAAGGTCATCCAAGTCACTTGTTTTATTTGGCTTAAACACAGGGTGTTGTTTGTTTGTTTGTTTGTTTTTTAGTTGTTACCAACATTTAAAAATGTGCAGATTCTTATAAAAGTCCAGATTTCCTGCTTCTCTTGAAAAAATCAGATCTGGAAACGCTGGGCTCCCATTCCCCTGTGGCAGCAGGGAATGAAGGAGGATATGCCTGCTTTAGACAGGGCACCAGCCCTCCCGTCTGCGCCTCCACCCTGCCCCTTTGCTCACATGCCTGGCCCCTGTGGGCCTTTGAGTTTAAGAACTTGTTTGAAATCTTTAGGCTTGTTTGTTCCATGGGAGATTCCTCCTGGGATTTTGATACTTTGTGCATCTTTAAAGAAGAGGTTTACCATGTTTCACCAAACTTTAATGGTCCCTCTGTCCCAAGAATTCAGTGGGTCTCTTTATTTACAACAATCGCTCTTTTTGCCTTCCATCTTCCCAAATGGAAAGCTCACCCAACAGTTGTACGGAACCTTCTCATTTACAGAGCTGTGGCAGTAAATCCTCACAGTCACCATGGGGGAGCAAAGGCTTATATGGTGCTGTTCAACATGGTAGTCACTAGCCACATAAGCCTCTCTGCATTCATATTCATTCCCAATGAAGTCATCTGTGTCTCAGTTCATCAGTCACATTTCAAGTGTTCAATGGCCCCATGTGGCTACTGGCTTCCATATTGGACAGTGCAGACGTATAATCCTGCCATCGTGATAAGAAGTTCAATTGGACAGTGCTGCATTTTAATAATTGTTCTACAGAGAATTAAACTGAGGTTCAAAGAATTCAACGGGGCTGGGCTCGGTGGCACACACCTGTAATCCCAACACTTTGGGGAGCTGAGGTGGGTGGATCACCGGAGGTCAGGAGTTCGAGACCAGCCTGACCAACATGGTGAAACCCCGTCTCTACTGAAAATACAAAATTAGCCAGGTGTGGTGGCGCATGCCTGTAATCCCAGCTACTCGGGAGGCTGAGGCAGGAGAATCGCTTGAACCTGGGAGACGTAGATTGCAATGAGCTGAGATCACACCACTGCACTCTAGCCTGGGCAACGACAGTAAAACTCCGTCTCAAAAATAAATAAACAAACAAAGAAGTAGACTGGGCGCGGTGGCTCACGCCTATAATCCCAGTACTTTGGGAGGCCGAGGCAGGTAGATCACCCGAGGTCAGGAGTTCAAGACCAGCCTGGCCAACATGGTGAAACCCCATCTCTACTAAAAATACAAAATTTAGCTGGGCATGGTGGCGCATGCCTGTAAGCCCAGCTACTAGGGGGCCGAGGCAGGAGGATTGCTTGAACCTGGGAGGTGGAGGTTACAGTGACCTGAGATCACGCCACTGTACTCCAACCTGGGCAACAGAGTGAGACTCCATCTCAAAATAAATAAATAAATAAAAGTAAATAAATAAAGAAGTCAAGGGACTAGACAGTCCTCCATCTCCCAAACCATTGAGTAAAAGGGGTTTCTTGTTTGGTTGAATGAATGGGAAAATGCCCTCTACTTTGCTGCCCTTTTGAAATATAATGAAAGAAAAAGGAGAAGAAAAAAAAAATCCCCTGAATCCTACCTAACTCCAAGATAATCACTGTTAATGTTTTAGTCTAATTCTTTCTGGATACTGAGGGTGGTTTTAGTATGTTTTTAGCAGAAATCTTTCAGTGTATGGATCAAGGTTTATTTCTGGCTTCCTCAGCCTTCCCTCCTTCACTGGTTTTTTTGGACTCTGTCAATCAGAGGCCCTTGCCCGGGACAAGGTGGCGGGGAATCCCACTTGGCAAGGGACGGTGGGGAATTATCCGGGGTGTCAGGATTTGTGGGAAGCTCTGTTCTCCTAAATGACTCCAGAGTTTTCTTCCTTGCTTTTTCAAATATTGCACAAGTTTGGTCAGGGAGCCAAGCCCAGGCTGGACTCAGTCTCTGGCTGTTGGAGGAGAGACCTCTGGTGGTCGGAGAGGCCTCCTTGCTCCTGCTGCAAAAAGGATCCTGGGCGCTCGTGTAGCCCACTGCCTTCCTTTCACTGGTGGTGGAGAAACAGGCTCAGGAGGGAAGGCCCGTGCCAAGGTCACCTGGTTGTGCTCTCAGTTCCAGTAAAGTCTGCAGGGTTCTGGGATCAACCTGCCTGGGTTCAAGTCCTGACTTGACCACTTTTTAGCAGTGGGACAGTAGGCCACATAACTTCTCTGAGGCTCAGGCCTGAATTTTGGCAGGATTGTGGGAATAAAGTTAAACAACCTATGTAAAGTGCTTGGCACAGAGTAAGCACTTTATAGCCAGGGTGGGCTTCCCCTCAGATGACACTGGTAATAATCACGACAGGTTGTCAAAGGTGTGCTCTGCGGCAGGTGCAGGCTGCTGCTGTGCCTGAATCGCCTGCTTTAAGAGAATCCTCTTCATGACCCCCTGAAGGAAGTGCTGCTATGACCCCATTTTGTACTTAAAAGGAGCAAGGTTCAGAGAGGCCATGTGACTTGGCACATGTGATCCCTGACATTCTCACAGCCTTTCCATTCACCAAGGGCTTTCTTGGTTTTTTGTTTTTTGTTTTGTTTTGTTTTTCAGATGGAGTCTCTCTCCATTGCCCCGACTAGAGTGCAGTGGCATGATCTAGGCTCACTGCAACTCCGCCTCCCGAGTTCAAGTGATTCTCCTACTTCAGCTTCCCAGGTAGCTGGGATTACAGGCGGGCACCACCATGCCCAGCTAATTTTTGTATTTTTAATAGAGATGGGGTTTCACCATGTTGGCCAGACTGGTTTTGAACTCCTGACCTCAGGTGATCCACCCGCCTTGGCCTCCCAAATTGCGGGGATTACAGGCCTGAGCCACCACACCCGGCCCTCACCAAGGGCTTTCTGTATGGCTTCAACAATCCAGAGATGTAGGGAAGGTGGGCATTTGGAATTCCTGGTTGGTAGATGAGAAAATCAATTCAGTTTGCCCAAGATCGAAGCCCAGTGCCCCTTCCCCTACCCTGATCCCAAGCTGTGGCCTTCCTCACTGCCCAGTAGCCTGGCCTCAGGGCCCAGTTCCCACCCCCCACCATGGCTGGCCACGGCCTCCCTGGGGAATGTCCACAGGGCAGGCCAGCAGCCAAGGAGTCACAACCCCAGGGTGTGGGCCTTGCCTCCACATGCCCTCACCTGGGCTGAATCCTGTTCCCGCCCTCGACGTACCTGTGTGCCCGCTCCACCTGCTGGGGCCCGCCCCTGCCCACCACGCAGATGAGAAAAGGGCCCTACTCCAAACACGACCCTGACCTTGCAATTGACAGCCTCTGCCTCTAGTGGAAACCAACACAAGAAGAGGCTGCTCTCCAAGGAAAGCCTCCGAGAGGACTTTACTTATTTGTTTGTAATTTTTATTTGCAGTCAGGAGTACATATGCAGGTTTTTCACATAGATAAACTTGCGTCGTGGGGGTCTGTGTAAATGAAGGGGGTGGAGTGGAGTGGGGAAGAGGCCTGAACGCAGCATGCCAAGCCCACACAACGTGGCTGCGCTGGGGAGACCTGGAGTCAGCTCAGAGCTGTGGCTTCCTCAATTGTAAAGCAAGAGATCAGAGGCCGGGCGCAGTGGCTCATGTCTGTAATCCCAACACTTTGGGAGGCCGAGGCCAGCGGATCACAAGGTGAGGAGATCGAGACCATCCTGGCTAACACAGTGAAACCCCGTCTCTACTAAAAAATACGAAAAATTAGCTGGGCATGGTGGCAGGCACCTGTAGTCCCAGCTGCTTGGGAGGCTGAGGCAGGAGAATGGCATGAACCCAGGAGGCGGAGCTTGCAGTGAGACGAGATCGCGCCACTGCACTCCAGCCTAGGCGACAGAGCGAGACTCTGTCTCAAAAAAAAAAAAAAAAAGAGATCGGGGAAGTGACTGGCTCTGAGGTCCCTTCCAGCCGTGACACCTCAGACCCTGCAGGATGGTGGGGCTCTGGCCAAGGCCTTGGGTGAGGGGTTGATCTCTGGGGGTCCAGGTGGAACAGGGCTTCTCAGTTGATCTCTGGGGGTCCAGGTGGAACAGGGCTTCTCAGCCCTCCCCTTAGGCGATGTGAGGCTTGGCCCAGCATGGGCAGGGCGTTCTTCTCGCACCCCACACACAGTGAGCCGAGGCTCGGGCTGCTCGCAGTGTGTGTGTCCAGCACCAACTACATCCCTGCACTGTGCAGGGCTCCGGGAATACAGAGCTCACAGTCCAGTAGGGAGACAGATTAGACAGTGTGAAGAGGCTCTCCTGAGGGTGAACTAAGAGAGCACTGGAGACAGATTAGGGACCCCAGCCCCCGTAATCTTGGGAAGGCTTCCTGGAGGAGGCAGCATCTGAGACCACAGGTCTAGCAGGGGTGGATGAGCAGGATAGGATTGATGTCCGCTTCAGGAGTGCCACCAAAGCCCGCTCTCCCTGCCCTGCCACTGGAGTGAGCCAGCCTCAGTGGAGGAACCTGGGAGGGAGTCAGGCTGGGGTCACGGAGCCCCAGGAGCTAGCACATGCCTTAACCAGTGCCTCTTGGACTTTGGCAGGTGCAGCTGGTCCAGGACCCGGCAACAGGAGGGACCTTCGTGGTGAAGGCAGGTGCCACCCTGCCCCTGCCACTCTGCATTCCCCTTGGATCTTTCTCAGGGCTCTTGGAAACTCCTACCCAGAACCTGCATTAGAAGCCTACACTCCCTTCCCCAAAAGCTGCTTGTTCTACCCGAACATGCCCCGCTTTCCAGATGGACACACATGCACATACACACACACAAATACACAAACACACAAATACACACATGCACACACACTGCCCCCTCTTTGGCTAGAGGGTGGAGGACCCGGATTCTACAGGGGCAATGGGGGTAAGGACAGGTCAGGAACTGAGGGAGGCATTTGCTCCACCCTCATTTGGGTGCCCCTGAAGCCGGGGCTAGGAGGTCCCCTAACAGCAGCAGTCTCTGGCCTGTCCCCGGCTGATCTGCCTGCCCTGCCCCTCCCAGAGCCTACCCAGGTGCCACATGGTGAGCCGGGAGCGGCTGACCATCATCCCACACGGAGTCCCCTACATGACAAAGCTACTCAGGTACTTCATGAGCGAGGACTCCATCTTCCTGCACCTGGAGCATGTGCAAGGTGAGCAGGCCTGGGGGCCCCTGTCAGCTCCCCAGGACTTTGGGATATGTTGTCAACTCTTAAAATGCTGAGCCCTGGCAGGGCGTGGTGGCTCATGCCTATAATCCCAGCACTTTGGGAGGCCGAGGCAGGCGGATCAGCTGAGGTCAGGAGTTCCAAACCAGCCTGGCCAACATGGTGAAACCCTGTCTTTACTAAAAATACAAAAACTAGCCAGGGGTGCTTGTGCGTGCCTGTAATCCCAGCTACTTGGGAGACGGAGGCAGGAGAATGACTTGAACCTAAGAGGTGGAGGTTGCAGTGAGCCAAGATCATGCCACTGCACTCTAGCCTGGGCAACAAAGCAAGACTCTGCCTCAAAAAAAAAAAAAAAAAAGCTGAGACCTGGGGAGGGGCGGAACTTGCACCAGATGTACAGCACAGACCAGGGGACCCGGCCTTTCTGGAGGCCAGTCAGGCTGTTGTGGGCCTGTGTGTGGTGCCAAGGGGGCAGGGGACATCCTGGGGAGGATGCCCACATCGTGGGTGGGCATGAGAATTGCAGCTGTCTCCTCTGTCGCTGTTTCCTCCTGCGCTGGCTCTTTTCATTTTTCTGGACCGTGCCGATCCCTTGGGAGTGGCCAGACAGTGTGGTGGTGACTGAAGTTATGATTGTATTGATGACTTTTTAAAGTGAGGTCCACATCTGGGGTCATGACACATAGTCATCATCAGTCTGTGCCTGGCCTTCTTTAAATTTCTTTATATCAGTCTCCCTAAAAACAGTGTTCACGTTAGTGAACCCACCACCCAAACCACAGACACTGGCAGTGCTGGACGTCTGTCGGTGGTGTGCCAGTTTGTGAGGCTGGGCCCGCTTTAGGTGGGTCAAGAGGAGGGCAGAGGGCATTCTAAGCTGAGGGGTGGGAGGGAGCAGAGGTGAGGGGCTGAACTAGGCCTGGACACCCAGAGGCAAAAAAGTCTGTGCCCAAGACAGGGGAGGCAGGAGTGGGAGCGGGCCCTGGCATCCATGCTCTTTTTCTCCCTGTCCCCACGCTCACCGCTCCCTCTGCATGGCCCAGGAGGCACTCTCTGGTCCCACCTGCTCTCTCAGGCGCACCCCCGACATTCTGGGCTCAGCTCTGGCTCTACCCAGGAGAGGATGAAGGCTCAGCTCAACCCCCACCTCAACCTCCTGACCCCAGCGAGGCTCCCCTCAGGCCACACCCCTGACCAGGACAGAATCGCCCTGGAGCCTCCTAGGACTTCTCCGAGCCTTCCCCTAGCCGGGGAGGCCCCATCCACCAGACCCCAGAGGGAGGCTGAAGGTGAACCCACAGCCAGGACCAGCACCTCTGGCTCCTCGGACCTTCCAAAGGCCCCAGGTGGCCACCTGCACCGTCAAGCTAGGCGGGCTGGCCAGAACTCAGACGCTGGGCCCCCTCAGGGACTCACTTGGGTTCCCGAGGGGGCCTGCCTGGTGCTAGGGGGCTGTGGCCGAGGCACGGATCAGAGCTGCCTGTCAGCAGATGGGGCCGGCCGGGGCTGTGGCAGGGCCACCTGGAGTGTGAGAGAGGAGCAGGTGAAGCAGTGGGCGGCGGAGATGCTGGTGGCACTGGAGGCACTGCATGAGCAGGGGGTGCTGTGCCGGGACCTCCACCCCGGGAACCTGCTCCTGGACCAGGCAGGTAGGTGCCCTCCCCACCCCTCAGGGGGGCAGCCCCCAAAGCCTCCTCAGGCAGAGGACGAGAGAGCCCCAAAGTCGAGGGGACCTCCGAGGTTGTCTTCTCCTCCCTGGCCCCAGCCGGCCTTTCAGCGGGCCTAGGCCGGAGTCTGTTGGCTGAGGCTCCTGGGAGTACCCTGTGGGCTCTGTGGGCCTCAGGGTGCTGTGCCCCTGCAGAGGTTCTGCCCAGCAAGACCATTGGCTCCTACCACATGACTGTTGGGGGAAGCCCTGGAACCCCCTCCCCTATGTCAGCTGTCCTCAATCTTTGTCCCCTCCTTTTTCCTCCTACACACTGGAGGTCACATCCGGCTCACATATTTTGGCCAGTGGTCAGAGGTGGAGCCCCAGTGCTGCGGGGAGGCCGTGGACAATCTCTACAGCGCCCCAGGCAAGAAGGGGGAGGCCGGGGTGGGCCCTAGCACCTGGGTGCCTTTGTGGGGGTTGCGCCCAGAGTCTGAGAATGACAGAGGGGGTGGGTGGTGTCTGGGTAGGCTGAGGAGAACGGAAGAGGCCCTCTTGGGTGAGGCTGGGACCCGTGTTCTTGTTCCCACAGAGGTGGGTGGGATTTCTGAGCTGACAGAAGCCTGTGACTGGTGGAGCTTTGGGTCTCTACTGTATGAACTGCTTACAGGAATGGTGAGTGGCTGGGCTGGGTGTAGTGCTCTGGTGGGTGCCACTGAGTGTGGGATGGGCCAGGCTTAGTCCAGTCACTCAGTCTGGGCAGAGACTGCCTGGCTGTCCTGCCAGCACAGCTGCCCCCAAAGCCAGGGACACACTTAGCACTCCCAACACATTAGTTGGCTATAGCTAAGGAGACTGTCAACTTCTGTGAATGAGAGTAGAGTGGGGTGGTCAGCGAAGGTTTCTGCCAGAGAGAGCCTGGGCCCAGGTGGTGTCAGATTTGGAGGAAGCGCAAAATGTGACACAGCCCTTCTTCCCTGGAATTCTGTTCGATCCTCCTGAGCCCACTGTTCACTCCTCCCACCCATGCCCTCGTGGGCTGCCACTCCCAGACCTTCGCTGGAGGATGGGAGAGAGGGGCTCTTTCACCCAGGCAAGCAGCTGCCCTGTCCAGCCTGGGTCAGCCAAGAGCTCAAAAGATCCCCCGCAAACACTCCAGGAACCTGTGTTTGCAGGTTGCAGTCAGGGCAGGCACTCTTGGGAACAGTAGATGGCTCTGCCTTCTATCCTCCTCACTCATGAGCTCAGCACCACAACTGAGACCAGTTTTGTAGGCAACAAGGGAGAGGCCAAAGTGCATTTGAGCAGGAAATAGCCAGAATGGATGCAGCGTGAACTGAAGTCCAGATCTGACCAGTCCATCCGGGCTCCCTCCTGCTTTCGTCCCATGGCACAGGGCCCCTGAGAGTCCTGGTTGCAATTTCCCGCAGAGTGGCTCTCTCCTTCCTGTCTCCTCTCACCTCTCCAGCCCAGAGCTCCTGGCCTTCCTCCTAGGGGTTCCTGGAAGTTCATACTTCCCTCCAGACAGACCCTCTGCTCCCCAAAGCTGTGCCTTTCTGGGGTGTGGAGAGGTCCTATTTTATTTTATTGCCACGCCCCTGCCTTGGCCCCGATGGTAGCATGCCGTGGCCTGCTGCCAAATGAATAGCCAATGTGGATTTTTTAAATAAGGAGAAAAGTTCCATCACTGTTCTCAAGAGTGCCTGCCCTGATTGCAACCCAAGATAGTTGCTTCTAGCAAGCTTGGAGCCAAGACCTAGGTTCAAACCCTGAACTCGGCACAAGTCCCTTTACCTCTCTGGGCCTGTTTCTTGCCTTTCGTGGATAACGTAAAGGCACTGCTTAGCCATCAGGCAGTGTCTGGCCCTAGCAACTATAATTATTGTCATCATCCTCATGGGATGTGACATGGGAAAAAAAAATCCTGGCTGCCACTGTAATGTAGACAGTCCTGGGGTCGCCTCCTCAGAGGCCCTTCCCTGTGTCCTCCCAGGCACTGTCCCAGAGCCACCCTTCAGGAATCCAGGCCCACACCCAGCTCCAGCTGCCTGAGTGGCTCAGTCGTCCGGCGGCCTCTCTGCTGACTGAGGTGAGGTGTAGCCCAGCCAGAGGAAGCAGCTGCCTAGCCTGAGAAAGGTGCTGGGAGGGGCACAGAACTGTGTCTGCACCACATGTGCTTCGTGCTCAGTGTCTGATGTGGATGCAGAGGACAGTAGGGTCAACACATTTCTACATGTTGGTGGCCAACCACCACTGATGTCCCCAGGGTAAAATGTGGGTTCCACGGGCCAGGTTGCCAGGGAGCAGGCCCCCTAGGGGCCATAGTGGTTGGAGTCCCTGGAGGTCACCCCATGCCTTCACAGCTGGAGTGGGGCAGGCCAGCTGACTGGGCCTCTCTCTGCAGCTGCTGCAGTTCGAGCCTACCCGGCGCCTGGGCGTGGGAGAAGGTGGTGTCAGCAAACTCAAGTCCCATCCCTTTTTCAGTACCATCCAGTGGAGCAAACTGGTGGGGTAAGAGGGTAGAGCGGGTGACGGAAGCAGCTGGCCTGGTCTGGATCGCCTCTCCTCCTTGCCTGACACCCAGGGCTGGCCCTCTATCCGCGGGCTTCGGGCGAGGAATGGAGGGCACTGCCTGTCCTACTGGGCTCCCACTGGGACCTCAGAATTATGGCCACCACCCAGGAAGGGTCAGCTCCTGGAAAAGCTGGAGGTGGGGGCAGTCAAGGCCTGCCCTGCTAAGCAGCTTGAACCTTCCACCCATGAGTCAACAGACCCATTGAGCATGTGGACTCACCATGTTAAAGGCTGCCCTCTGTGGCACTGGCGCTGAGCTCTTGACCACCTGCTGCACCCTACTGTGAGGTGCTGTGACTGACTTACTGCCATGTTGTGCCCTACTCAGGACATCTCTGGAGACTCTTCTCAGGACACTGATCCACTGGCTCAGTGGACCCAAACCAGACTGTCCTGGCTAGTCCTCTTAGTCACACAGTGAGTGGGCCTCTTCCACCAGAAGCTGTTACTGCAGCTAGAGAGGCTCAGAAGCAAGGATGCCATCTGTAGTGTGGGGAGGGATGAGGTAGGGGACAGGAAGACCCCCCCATTCCTGACCATGCCCCCTGTCTTGCAATTTCAGACTTGGGAGAGCAAAAGGGAGGGGAAGAAAATAAGAGGAATGGGGGGAGGAAGGAATGCACAGCTCTGCCCCTTAGAGCAAGTCTGAAACCAGAATCAAGAGCCCTCCTCCCCAGTGGGGCCAGCTGTGTGGGGGGAGGGGGGCAGCCTGCCCCAGGGGTGCAAAAGGACAGCAATTCATTCAGCCTCCAGGCCAAAGCAGCTGAGACAAAGTGTGCCCATCAGGATCCCCTCTCAGGCTTTGGCTGTTTACCATGTCACTGCCTACTGTGACTTCATGTCCTTTTGGGATAAGAAACCACAAAATGTATGGAACAACTATCCATGGCTCTTAGCCAGAAACGTCTTGCTTCTGGTCTCTGAAAAACTGGGGTGAGTGGTTGTCCCAAAGACAATCGCCCCCAGTTTGGGGGCTCCTCTCAGGGTTCACCCTGTCACCGGGTGTGGGACCTGGGAAACTTCCACTAGACTGTTGCCCCCAGCTCCTCCCCGCCAGCATCCCAGTCACCACCAGGTGGCACTTCCTACATGGTCCACATGTCTGGCTCTGAAGGCCCAACTCTGTCAGGCCAGACTCCTGTCACTCATGGTGGGGAGACCTGACTTCCTCGGGCTCTTCAGGAGACTGAGACAGAGAGGACAAGCGAAAGCGCAGCCTGTGTATGACTCTCCGCGGTTCACATCCTGCCTCTCCCTGGGGTTTACCTAGCCCCAATAAAGCCTGCTCTGGTCTCTGGTGTTCTTGCTTCTTCCATGCAATGACCGCGGCTCACTGGGGCAGGTTGGAAGGCTCCCCCATAGACGCTCCAGAGTGAAGTCAAGAGTGAGCTTGGGGGCTGCCAGGAAGTAGGATGCAGGGCTGGTGGTGAGCAGCATGCCACCTGTGCCCTGGGCCTCAGGGGAAGTGGTGAGGTCAAGAGGAGGACCAGGCTCTGTGGGGAAGAGGATGAAGAAGCCTTGGAAGAGGCTCATGGTGCCTGGGGGAATGCCAGTTGCATCCTCACAGTGACCCCTTGCAACAGAAGGTAGCTTCTGAGAAAACTGAAGCTTAAAGAGGTTAAGGACACAACCTAGCCAGAGTTGCAAGTTAGTGTTCCTTCTGCTACTCTCCCTAAGTCAGGCTGGACCACTTCCAACCACTGCTTCATGAAACACAAGTCACTTCTGGAACTTCTGTGCTTCATCCACCCAACGCTACATGTCTGGTACCTTGTTGGGCCCTGAATTTAGAATACTGTGGGTCCCAGCTCTTACAGTCGACCTCCTTTCGATAGAATGGGGCAAGCAATGCCTATTTTGCAGGTTTACCAGATAAATTAAAGCTTCTAACACCAAGTCCTGTTCTTCCTTTCATTCAACCTAATTTGTTTTTCTATCTACTAGAGCTCTAGTTCTACCCTCTGGGACCCACTTCCCTCCCGTGAGACCTTCACAGAGGGATGGCCTCACTGCAAGAGAGCTCAGCAGACAGGGACTGTGGAAAGGCAAGGCTGTGTTTAAGCCTGGAATCCATCACACCTGCCACCTACAGTCTAGGTTAGCTACCAACCCTGTATACTCACCCTCACTGACCACTGCTCCTAGGAGGTCATCAACTCTCACCTGTTCATGTGTATTGACCTTGAGCATCTTGGTACATGAGGTAATCAAATCCAAATGAAATGAGATGCTCCCACCCCTCCCAAATCCATCACTGAAATAATGTAAGCCCCCACAAAAAATGCAAGTCTACTGGTGTTTTGAAAGGGCTTCATCAAGATGGTGACCCCAAATTCTCTAGAGTATGGCTTGACGGGCTGAAGGAAGCTGGGGCACTAAAAGACTATGATGCTTTTGAAAACTTAAAAAAAAAAATCCTAAGCCCCCCATCCATCTGTATGGACCCCTCCTCTCAGTCAAGGGCACTCCAAAGTTAACCTGAAAAGCTAGTTTGGGCCACGGTGGGAAGAGGAAGCCAGCCATGGCTCATTATACCCTAAAACAGGCTCCTTAAGTCTGATGAGAAGCATTTACAATCTATTTTCTCTGAAGCCTGCCGGCTGGAGGCTTCATCTGCGTAAAACCTTGGTCTCCACAACTCCTTACTGTAACCCAGACATTACTTTCTATTGATTCCAGGTCTTTAGATAGTAACTCTTTCAATAAATTGCCAATCAGAAAATCTTTGATTCTGCCTATGACAACACCCCTAGGCCTTGAGCTGTCCTCCCTCTATAGACCAAACCACTGTACATCTTACAGGTATTGACTGGTGTCTTATGTCTCACTAAAATGTATTAAATGTGTAAAACTAAGTTGGAACCAGACCACCTTGAACACATGTTCTCAGGATCTCCTAAAGGTGGTGTCACAGACCATCAGTCACTCACATTTGGCTCAGAATAAATCTCTTCAAATATTTTACAGAGGTTGACTCTTTTTGGCAACACTTTCCTGGCTGGCAGTCAGGATTCTACCTTCTGTCAAATTAGGACAGTGTTAACTTCCACATAAGGGATTTCTGATTCCACAAGATAAGCAACAGGACCTTAAGTGGTTTTCAATGATGTCAGTGCAACAGTGCTGGGGACTTGTACCACCTCGGTAGCCAAAAGGAACACAGATACAGGAACCCTGTTTGAGAACATCTGCCCTTTAATTTGCATTTAAAATCAGTTTCTTTAAATACTTTAGTTACAAGTTCTGAATAGTGAAGACAGAGTAGTAGATGCTGCAGGCACTCAGTATTGGCTCCCACCCCTTCCCCCCTCCCCCACCCCCAGGCCTCACTTCTTGGCTCAAGATACAAAAGGGCACTCTCTACTGGCCCTGGTGTCAAATGTCAGCAGCCTCAGGCCTGGATGCGGTTGGATACAAAGCCATGAATCCCAGTAGCTTTCATTTGCCTTTAACCATGCTCCAAGGAATTCCAATGATTGTGCCCAGATCCACGGGCAACACACCTTAGAAATGACCTCATCCATTTCACTACTATGTACTAACACCCTCAGGGTGGTTTCCTACCCCAGTCCATGTCCTCCAGATCTGTGTCCTGCAGAGGAAGAGACAAGGCCCCACTATAACGCAGGAAGGAATAAGAACTGCCTCCTCAGCCCACGTGCTTAAAGCAACTTAATTGAAAAGCTCAAGTCAATCTGAGTCAGTCTAGAGGAGACCTCCCCTCCCTAGTCTCTACCAGGCTACGGCCCTTCCTCGGGACCATGCTCCGTCCCACTGCCATGATGTGCTAGAATCTGCTCTAAGAACAAGGTGCTAGAATGAGGCCCAGCAACCAGGAAAGGGTTTGGAAAGGGTTGCTACAGCCCCAGCTGTGTGAGATTGTGCCAAGACGAGTCTTCCTGGTGTAAGCCTATGATGGAGAGCGTCGGCGCGGGCTCTCCTATGGTGATTACAACACGTGACCTCAGGGGACCTCTGCCCTCTCCTCCCACTCACACGCCCAGATCCCCTGGCCTGTGCTTCCTGGAAGAGGTAGAAGAGGCATCTTGAAGTCAATGACAACGGAGAATGAAGGTGCCACTGAAGAAGCAAAGCAGCACCTCTTTGCCTGTGTTCAATCCCTCCACACAAGTGGAATCAAGGGAGAATGTGAACAGCCAGGACAGAGGCTGCTCTGAGCTTGGGAGGCACAGCATCCTCCTAAACATCTCTGCAGAACAAACTTTCAAAAGATAGGAACTTAATAACATGGTCCCCGGGGGGTTCTCTATAGTATACCAGCACTAGGGAGAAGCAAAATCATCTCTGCGGAGGGTTGATGGAAGAAAGGCAGGAATATGGATGAGCATCCATTAAGGCGCTCTCTCTCAAGCCTAAGGAATTAAGATATTCGAGGGTATGAGACAGGTGCAGAGAGGGAGAGAGCCTGGCCGGAACACCAAGAAAAGACCTGTGACTGCTGGTTACATAGTGCTCTGCTTCCTTGCTTGAGGCCAACAGCATGTGCCTGCCTGTCACCAGGCTAACCCGGGACCCATGACGGGACAGGGAGAAGACTGATTTTCAGTTCCTGCATGATCAATTTATAGGGTGTGTGGGTTCCTCCTAAAGATCCAGGAGGAGGACTCTGGGATCCTCTACCGCTGCCTTGATTTTGCGGAGGAAAGTCACAGCCTCTCTGCCGTCAATCAGCCGGTGGTCGTAGGTCAGTGCCACATACATCATGGGCCGCACCTCCACCTACAGAGAGGAAAGGTCAAGAGGTTTGTCCCCAGCAAGCCACAGCCAGCCTTGCTGAAGGAGGAGATTTAGCACGGCCCATAAGAAAGTTCCTATTTCCAGAGCCTTTCCTATTGATGTTGCCTCTGCATATTTACAGTATTTTCAAAGACCAGGCCTTACCCTCAGTGCAAAGCTTCCCCACTCAGAAACAAAGTTTGCCAAGAAAACTGTCCTCTCACAACTGTCTTTTATTTTTTAAAAACATACTCTGCCCTCTAATGCATCTGCTGCCTACGAGGAAAGTCTTCCCTTCAGTTCTGGCTGCCTGTACTTGCTTCTCTGGTGTTAGAATTTAAAAAAAAAAAAAAAAATTAAGCTGGGGTCTACAAATTCTGGAATTGTATGTGTAGTTGGGTGTGTGGGCATTTTCCAGGAAGATCTACGGATTTTGGTTTCACACAGGAGTCAGTAACCCAAAAAGATTCTAAACACAGGAGTTCCCAGAAAGCTTTTGATATCAACATATCTTCTAAGGGCCAGCTCAAGCCCCTTTAATACTTAATTCTCTGAACTCCTGGGAAACTTCCAAGCTTTATCATACAACTTGCCAGCTCGTAGACTGACATGCATAAATGTCATCTGTTTCCCAGGGGCAAGGGACCATGTCTCCAACTATATCCCCCACTCCATAGAAGCAAACAAGCCTTCTCAGCTCAGTGGTTCTCAAACTTGAATATGCATCAGGATCATCTGCGCTTCTTCTTTAAGTCTGGGATGGGGTCTAAGAATATGCATCTCTAACAAGGTCCCAGATGATGTTGATCCAGACCACAATTTGATAATCAGTGCCTTAGCTATTAGAAACTAAGAAATGGAACTTAGGCCTAGAATTATAGTTAATGTTTTGCAATTAGCATTTAGTTGGATTTCCCCTTCATCAAGACCTAGCCACTAGGACCTTAGAAGGGAGTTCCTACCTTGCCTCCTACAGCCACTGGCCTGTCAAAGATGCCATGCATCCCCAGGATGGCAGACTGAGGGGGGTTGATAATGGGTGTTCCAAAGAGCGAGCCAAAAACGCCTCCATTGCTAATGGTGAAGGTACCGCCATCCATATCTTCAATGGCAAGTTCATTCTTTCGGGCCTAAAAACAGATTTCGTCATTGAAATATTAAGCCAACCCAGCTTCCTTCATCTAAAGTCAGTCCATAATCCCAGCACTTTGGGAGGCTGAGGCAGGAGGACTGCTTGAGGCCAGTTCAAGGTCAACCTGGGCAACATAGTGAGACCCCACCTCTACAAAAAACTTTATTAGCTAGGCATGGTGGTGCACACCTGTAGTCCCAGCTACTCAGGAAGCTGGGGCAGGAGAATCGCTTGAGCCCAGGAGTGCAAGGCTGCAGTAAGCTATGACTCTACCACTCTACTCCAGCCTGGGCAACACAGCGAGACCCTGCCTCTAAAAACAAAAAAGCAAAGGAAGTCCAGAAAGCTTGTATCATGAGATTGATGGCACAAGCGCCAGCCTCCGTGTGACAGTTGTCCGGCTGAGGTGTCTATGACCAGGGCTCCACCAGAGAAAAGGCACAACTTCATAGAGCTGAAGACTTCAAAGAAGATCTTTTCTAGCAGGTCTCATCTGATGAGATTTCAGTTACCAGAGCGCGGTGAACTCCACTAGATAGATAAAATACTTAGCTCTCATGGGCCACTGCTTTTCTCAGGGGCTATGCACTTGACGTTCCATGAGCACTGCTCGCTGGCGAGCCCAGCCTTCCGAAGGCTCTTTTCCCTCGCCTGCTCAGCAGCTTGTATACATCTTTCTACTTTACCTTCTCTCCCAGTTCAGTGATGGTCCGTTCAATATCTGCATAATTCATAGCTTCCACATTCCTGATGACTGGAACCACCAGACCCTGAAGAGGGTGAAGAGCTGTTTTCAGTTGCAAATTAACATTACCTTTTATAGTTACAATTCCCTTGATTCAACCAGTGGTATCCCCTCCCTAGAATACCTTCATTACTCAATGTGATTAACAGAAAGTCTTAAGATAAAACAATGTGGCATGGTTTAAAAGAAAAAAAGTTACTAACTCCTTCCTAAAAACACAGAATTAAAGAAATGATTTCTCTTGTGTGATCTCCTTCTTCACACAGATAAGGTGAGGGTCTA